CCATCTTCCTACAAATACTTAAAAGTGTGGGGGTGTTTGGCAAAAGTTAAAGTTGAAGTTCCTGTTCCTAAAAAGACCAAGATTGGACAAAAAACAGTGGATTGTGTGTTTATTGGTTATGCTTAAAATAGTAGTGCATATCGATTTCTGACTTATAAATCAGAAATACCTGATATAAATGTGAACACTATTATAGAGTCAATGAATATTGTGTTTTTTTAATATGTCTTTCCTTACAAGAAATGACATGAATTAAGTTCACAGAAAAGAACTTATGATTGTACGCAAAGTCAAGAGACTAATGACAATCAAACACAAGAGACTAGTAATGGTCTCGACCAACAGGATTTAACTGATGATGAACCAAGACGAAGTAAGAGAGCAAGAACATCAAAATCCTTTGGTCCAGATTTTCTGACATACTTGTTAGAAAATGAATCTCAAAACTTTAAAGAAGCAATGACAGGTCCTGAAACACCTTTGTGGAAAGAGGCTGTTAATAATGAAATTGAATCCATTATGCGAAATCATACTTGGGAATTGGTAGATCTTCCACTTGGTTCTAAACCTCTTGGATATAAATAGATATTCAAGAGAAAAATGAAAGTAGATCGTTCAATAGACAAGTATAAAGTAAGACTTGTAGTAAAAGGTTACAGACAAAAGGAAGGTTTGGACTATTTTGACACATATTCTCATGTGACAAGAATAACATTCATCCGCATGCTTATTGCCATAGTAGCATTGTATAATTTAGAAATACATCAAATGGATGTTAAGACAGCTTTCTTAAACGGTGATCTAAATGAAGAGACCTATATAGAGCAACCCGAAGGGTTTGTAGGACCAGGGCAAGAAAAGAAAGTTTGTTGGCTTGTAAAATCTCTTTATGGATTAAAACAAGCACCTAAGCAATGGCATGAAAAATTTATCATGTAATGCTCACTAATGGGTTTAAGATAAACGAATGTGACAAGTACGTCTATGTTAAAAACACCGACCAAGGATATGTCATAGTTTGTCTTTATGTGGATGACATACTTATCATTAGAAGCAATCAAAATATGATCAAATCAACTAAGCAAATGCTTAATAGAAGATTTGATATGAAAGATATGGGGGTCGCAGATGTTATATTAGGAATAAAAATTACTAAAACATCTGACGGATATGCATTATCTCAATCACATTATATTGAGAAAATTCTCGGTAAATTTATCAAGGATGATATGAATGTAGCTAGAACACCTATAGACATCAGTCTTTATTTATCAAAAAATAAAGGTGATGCGGTGTCTCAGTTAAAATACTCCCAAATCATTGGAAGCCTAATGTACTTAATGAATTGTACTCGTCCTGACATAGTTTATGCAGTCAGTAAATTGAGTGGGTACACTAGTAACCCCGAAGAAGACCATTGGAAAGCGATCATTCAGGTTCTTAGATATCTAAGATTTACCCGTGATCATTGTTTGAACTTTACTCGATATCCAGCAGTACTTGAAGGTTATTGTGATGCCAATTGGTTATTGGTTACTAAAGATTCAAAATCCACTAGTGGATATGTCTTTACTCTGGGAGGCGCTGCTATTTCTTGGAAATCCACGAAACAAACATGCATCGCACGATCCACAATGGAATCTGAGTTCATTGCTTTAGACAAAGCAGGAGAAGAAGTAGAATGACTTCGTCACTTCTTAGAAGATATTCCAATGTGGCCAAAACCTGTGGCAGCTAGTTGCATTCATTGTGATACTCAATCTGCAATAGGAAGGGCACAGAATCATGTGTATAATGGTAAGTTACGACATATACGTCGTCGACATAATACCGTAAGGCAATTGCTCTCAAATAAAATAATCTCAATAGATTATATAAAATCTAAAGAAAATATTGCAGATCTGTTAACAAAAGGTTTGACAAAAGAGCAAGTGTATAGTTCATCGAAGGGGATGGGATTAAAGTCTATTACATAAGAGTCATCATAATGGTAACCCTACTTATATGACTAGAGATCCCAAGAACTAAGTTCAAAGGGACAACTAAGTGATCTGTGGCTCGCCAGAAATTACCAAGGGATTAAATTCCCTACCCATTCCTATGGTGAGAGTGATATCTGTAACATGTGTTGTATGCAGGGGTCTAAGGATAAGCTTAGCTTTTAATGATTACTTATATCTTGATTTAGGCATAAAATCAAGACGAGTATAAGAGATACTCACAATAAGAATCACCTATATGAGTGTCGAACTGGGGCCGGTTCTATGATAATGAAGAGGCTAAATTCCCTAGAAGCACTTATGAATAACCAGGAGCGTTCAAGGCCAAAATGAAGACAACCGTGAGAACCACGATGTGTCAGAAGATATTTTGTGTGAAATCTACTGTCTTGGCTTACTCAAACGGCTGAACAATTCAAGGCATCACGTCCATTAGTTAGCTAGTATGTCCGATAGGTTATCACTAGAGAAGGTTTAAGGCCGAAAGCTATCTATCCTGATGTAAAGATATTTTCAATTTATACTCTTTCAACAAATTTTGTATTTTGTTGCATTTCCGTTGTCATCAAATTCCATTCATGTAGGGGATTGTTGGAAATGGTTTTGGAAATTAGATTTTTCCTCAACTTTGGTCTATTTTTTAGGTGGGACCCATGTGCCAAATTTGGCGGGTCTAAGTGATAACGCGTTCTATACCACGTTGTGATTCACGTGGTATATTCGGTTGCTCAAAACCATTATCGGGTGAATGGAAAATTGAAGCCAAAGTGAGCTCCATGGAAATGGAATTTTTGGTAAAAATTCCTTAAGGTTTGAATAATAGCTTGTCCTACATTGATTTGGTGGGAAACTTTAAGTGGGTTTATAAGGCTTAGAGTTGGAACTTGGGGTAGGCCCCAAGGGGCACCCAAGAGTGGGTTTATAAGGCTTAGAGTTGGAACTTGGGGTAGGCCCCAAGGGGCACCCAAGTTTTGTAGAGATGGAGGTTATGGGCAAATTGGGTTAGACTCATTGGATCCAAAAATAACCACACGGGCGCGCCGCCGCCGTTCCTGCGTCCGATCGAGCGGGCTGGGCTTGGCTTGGGCGCGGGTGCGTAGTGAGAGGTTGGCTTGTCCGGCCAAAAATATTTGAATTTTATTTTATTTTTTGAAAAAATAAAATTTGTCCAGAATTCAAAATTAATTTCGAAAAAAACTGTCCAGTTTAATTTCAGAAAAAATTGTCCAGTTTTCCCTACACCCAAACAGGTCCATATCTGTCCAAAGAAATCAAACAGATTCAGTTATTTGTTCAAATTCAAACTGAACAGATTGTATCTGTTCAAAACAGTGCCTTACCTATTTAATTCAAACTAAACAGATTTTGTATCTGTCCGAACAGGTACTGTACTTGTTGAGTTCAAAATGAAAAGCCACAAATTCATCTATAAATAAGACAAGCCCTCATTTGGATTTTCACTCTAATTTTCGTCCAAAATTCTGTTTTTGCTCTCTGCATATTTTGCTGCATTAACTACGTTGAGTGTAGTGCCAAATTTGTTACATTAACACAAAGTGTGTTCGTTGTGCGAATAAATTGTAGTGCTGCATTTATTCGTTGTTGATCATTTTATCCTGGGAGACAAACGTCCACATTCTGAAAATACCGTGCAGAGGACGAATCTGTCTTAAGGACACAGTACTTGATCAAAAATTTGTTTAAGAAATTAATCCAGTAAGTTGTTAATTTATTTTCTGGTATATTATTTATTTATAACAGATTTTCATTTTGTTTTTGTAACAAAATAAAAATATGTTATTTATGTATTTATTTTATTTTCTAGTTTGATTTTTATAATCAAACATTCTCTCTCATTTCCTTTATTTCTTTTGTTTGTTGTTAAGTACACAAACTTAATTTATTCGGAATACAGTAAAGATTGTTCAACACAAACCAACTATAGCAAATATATGAAGAAGAAGAAGAAGAAGAAGAAGAAGAAGAAGAAGACAACTTGTTTTTCAATGAGAAAAGAACATGATGTTAACAAAAAAAGACTTATAGAGTGCCAAGCCAAAAGATAACTGCACGGGTTGCTGCTGCTCATATTTGCATGCAGTAGAAAAGGTAACAGCATAATTCAACAAAGAAGTAATAGTGGCAACCTAATAATGAAAATGAGTTGGACAAAATGAGTAGGACAATGCTCTTGTTACTAGAAACCTGATTAATAGGTGATATACACTCTCGGAAGAGAAGGAAAAAAGAAGAAGAAGAAGAAGAAGAAGAATGAATGAATGAATTGGTTAATGAAATAGGCCTGAAACAACAAACCTAAGTAAGGTGCAACCCTTCAATTGAAGAAAAGATGGTTTTAGGGTAACCAAACATTATTTTCTATATGTACAAACAGAAAACCGATATGTCAGCTAAGAAGAATAAACTTAGCTTCCCAGAATCAATTTCAGTTGTGCCATGCCAGATGACTGAAGACTGAAACTCAATATTTCAGAAGTTGTTTTCAAGATCACAGGCTTGTAGACATTTAAAAGACAAGAATCAAGAGATCAGGACACAATTACTTTATGAAATTACACTATCATTCCCATAATTCGATATCTGAACAACCCACTGTTCAGATGCCACAAGACAAGTTGCCCAAAAATCAAGCTACTGCAACAAGTAATTAGTGGTTTTATCAATCCCGGCTCCATTCGTATTGGAAAAACAAGAATAGTTGGTCGTTTTAGCAATCTAGGTTCTATTTACAACAGAAAAATGAGAACTTTTTCCCAAATTTGCCTTTTGATGCATTCACAAGCCCAATTTTTCCAAAATTCATTCTAGTTAGTTACCACTACCAGCTATGCTGTAACTTTCAAGAAGCATAACCCAAAGCATTTAACCAAACATTTAAAACATCACACCCCATATATAAAAACAACACCACCACGTATAATCTCTGACCAATGACCACTAAACAATATTGACAAGGATCTATTCCCACTTTCACTAAAGTGCGTCAATTATTTACCTTTTATCTATTCCAGGTGCTAATTTCAATGTTGCGTAAAAAGTACATGAGAATTATTTGCCCATTCCAATACAGAGAATTCCATGTAGAAAGTGATATGAAATGGGTGATATACATGATAGGATTGAAAAACAACAAATTGAGTGTCTACCACAATATTAATATGTAAAATGAGTTAATATTCAGTAAAAAGCAAGAAAAACCCAAAAGCAACCCAGTATAGTATCAATGCTATGCCAAATTTATCGGCTGCCATCCCCTCTTCCCAGCACTATTGTCTATAATCACATGTTATCAAATTATTTGGAATAGAACATGCTAATGAATTACCACAAGCACTCTATTACATGTCATCACAAGCTATTCCACATTGCCAAGTGTGACTCCCTCAAAGAGGATGAGCACCTGAACCCTTATAGCTTTACCACTGATTCACATGACCCTAAAAATCTTGTAGCAAGTCATACGGATGTGCCATGTCACCTTGCAATTGTTGCAGGGGTAAACTTTCTGCTTTAAGAACCACAAAAAATCAAATTAGCGGCATTATCATTGTTTTAGATGTTCTAATAGACTGTTTACATCATTAAGTTTAAAAGAGAGTCTAACAAAGGTAAAGAAATCAAACAAAGAGAGTCTAACAAAAATCAAACACCAAAAAATACTCCAATGGTAAAGAAAATAAATAAATAAACACACCAAAATAACCCAAAAAACAACTTAATTAACAAAGGTAAAAATTAAAACACATACTTTTTTACTGCAGCAAAAAACCCAAAATAAAATAACAAACAGTGGAGTTAAAAAGCCAAAAACAGCTTAAAAATTGAATTCAAACCAAAACAAAAAACACCCCCAAAAATAAAAAAATTAACAGGTGAATTAAGATAAGAAAAGGTTCCAAAAAAACAACTTCAACACTAGAACCCCAAAAATATAAAAATAAAAATAAACTCAATAAACACCCAAAATGTTAAATGCTGAAAAAACATAAGAATTAAGGTCAGCAGAAAACAACCACTTAAAAATTAGAACCAAAAATCTTTTTTTTGAGGAAAAACAAAAGAAACAAAAAAGGTGAATTGAAGATTGAAAACAACTTAAAAATTAGAACATTACAAAAAATAAATACAGAAATTGGGAAAAAAACAACCAAGAAACAAAAAAAAAAAAAAAAGAAGAAAGAAGAAAGAAGAAAGAAGAAAGAACAATCATTAAAAAACAAAAAACAAAATAAAAAAACTTAAAAGTTAGAAAACTCAAACAAAAAAAACAAAAAAAAAATCCAGAACAACTGGAAACTAAAAAACAGCCAAAAATGGAACTTAAAAGCTTATGGGAAAAAAAAAAAAAAAACTTAGAAAACAAACAAAATAAACAATAAAAAAAAAACAGTTAAATTAATACCTGAAAACAACTTAAAAGCTGTAAAAAAAAAAAAAAATCAAAAAAACCAACAAATTAATTTAAAAAATAGTTGCATTAACAGCTGAATAAAAAATAAAAAAAAAATTTGCATTAACAGCTGAAAACACATAAGAAAAAATAATTTAACAAAAAACAATAAATATAGAAATTGACGAAACGCAAAAGAAACAAAAAAGAAAGAACAATAAAAAAAACAAATGAATTGAAAGTTGGAAAAACTTAGAAATTAGAACACTAATATAAAATAAAAAAATTACAAAAATGAGGAAACACACCCAAGAAAAAAAGAAGAAGAGCAATTGTAAAAATAAAAACAAAAACAAATAAATTGAAAGTTAAAAACAACTTAAAAATTAGAACACTAAGAAAAAAATTCAAAACAACCAAAAAAAAAAAAAAAAAAAAAAAAAACTTAAAAGCTTAATAAAACAGAAAAAAATCAGACCAAAAAAAAAAAACTTAAAAGCTGAACAAAATAAACAATAAAAAAAAAACAGCTAAATTAATACCAGAAAAAAACTTAAAAGCTGCAACAACAACAAAAAACTCAGAAAACCCAAAAAAATCAATTTAAAAAATAGTTGAAAAAAAACAGTTAAATTAATATCTGAATAAAACTTAAAAGCTGCAACAACAACAAAAAAACTCATAAAACCCAAAAAAATCAATTTAAAAAATAGTTGCACTAACAGCTGAAATAAAAAAAAAAAAAATTGCTTTAACAACTGAAAACACAGAAAACACCAAAACATTAAAAACTGAAAACACATAAGAAAAACAATTTAACAAAAAAGGTGAATTAAGTAAAACAACTACTCAAAAATTAGAAGCCAAAAAACAATAAATACAGAAATTGAGGAAACACAAAAGAAAGAACAATAAAAAAACCAAGGGCAAATTACCTACACCTCCCTTAAGGTTTAGTTAAATTACAGAGGTTTCAGAAAATACATCCCGCTCCCTGAGGTTTATTTTCGCATAACAATTGATAAATCAACAAAATTTACAAAAGAATTATGTTAAATGGAAAAAAAAAATTAAGTTTTTAGAACCATGTTTGATTTTTTTGTTTAGAAAAAAATTTCAGAATTTAAAAAAATAAATAAAAACTAATTTAATAAAAATAAATATGAAAAAATATATTTAATTTGTAAAAATTATTTCTAACCACTCAAAAAATAAAATTATATAAAAATAATGATTATTTTTATTTTTATTTCTTAACCAAATTAATTTTTATTTTAAAAAAATTAAAAATAAATTTCTAAAAATCAAATCAAACCAAACATATTGGTAAAAAAAATTTGACAAGCCATTTCTTGTGTTTTTAACTTATTTAATTATTTGTTAATTTCATGATATTTTTATCATACACTACAACATATAAAAGTTTTAGAGACCAATTTTTTTGATCTCTAAGAGTAAAAATTTTGTTGCAAAAGACATTTAGGAGGACTAATTTCTATCGTCATGAGGATAGTCGCTAAAAGGTCGTCTTGAAAAGTAAAAAATATGACTTTTAGAGATAAAATTTCGAAAATGTTAATAATAAATAGACTTTTAGCGACAAAATAATTTGGTCTCAAAATAATTTATTTTTTGAGATGAAAATTTTGATACCAAAAATATAATAATTAATCACTAATGTTCAATTTTCGTTGTTAAAAATATAATTACATTTTTTGCAACAAAAATATTTGATTCCTAAAAATAATTTTGTCTCTAAATTTCGGTCTTTAAAACCTTAATTTTTTGTAATTTGATAAATGTTTTTTCATTTTAATTTTGTATTTCATAACTTATTTAAAAATGATAATTTAGCTACACCTCAGGAGAATCTGTAATTTAGCTAAACCTCAAAAGGGCCTCAAAAGGGGTAATTTGCCCTTATTTGTCGAAAGGGCATTTTAGTCAATTTATGATATCCGTTAATGGGGTTAATTGGGATGGGGATGTAATTTTTGAAACTTTAGGAAAATCTGTAATTTCGTTAAACCTCAAGGGAGGTTTAGGTAATTTTCCCAAAAAAGAAATGAATTGAAAGTTGAAAACAACTTAAAAATTAGAACACTAAAAAAAAACTCAGAAAATGTGAAAACAAAAAAATAACTTAATTAAAATCGTAAATAAAAACGAAAAATTAGAAGGGAAAAATAAACTCAGAAAACACCCAAAATAAACAGTAAAAAATAGATAAATTAATACCTGAAAAGAACTTAAAAGCTGTAACCAAAAAAAAAAAAACTCAGAAAACACCGAAAAATCAATTTTAAAAACAGTTGCATTAAAAGCTAAATAAACAAAAACAAAAAAAAATTGCATTAACAGCTGCATTAACCCAGATGGGAAAATTTTAAAAATTAGATTACAAAAAAAAAAAAAAAAAAGAAGCTAAAAACACATAAGAAAAACAATTTTTAAAAAAAAAAAAGAAGATGAATTAAGGGTTAGTAAACAACAACTTAAAAACTAGAACCCCCAAAAAATAAATACAGAAATTGAAGAAACACCCAAGAAGGAAAAAAGAAAAAACAATATTAAAAGACCAAAGGAATTGAAAGTTGAAAACGACTTAAAAATTAGAAGAAGAAAAAACCCCAAAAAAAAAAAAAAAAAAACCAAAACAAAAACCAAAAAAAAAAACAACCAAAAGGGGAAAAAAGCCCCCCCCCCCCCCGGGCCAAAAAAAAAATTAAAAAATAAATAATTAACGACTTAAAAAAAAATTAAAAGGGAAGAAAAAAATAGGGAAAATTTACCCATAAGTCCTAGTTTTTGAAACGTTGAACCATTTAGTCCTAAAAGTTTTCTTATGCTCTATTTAATCCCATTTTTACATCAACATGATGTGAATGATGTAAATGATCTGATGTTTCATTCTATAATTTCAAAATTTATTGATATCTGATGAACATTAGATGTTTTTCATCCTATATTTTCAAACATTATTGAAATTTGATGAACATTAGATGTTTGAAATCCAATGTTTGTAACATGACTCTGATGTTATTAACATTGTATCTGATGTTATTAACATTGTAATGGGACCTTTCAGTCTATAAGAAAACTTTTAGGACTAAACAGTGCATAAGTTATTAATTTGGGATTTATTGGTGCATCCCCCAAAAAATAGTCAGAAAACCGAAAATAAAAGTACAGGCAAAAAAATGTAAAAAATAAGAAAGAAAGAAAGAACTCACTCAGAAAACACCCAAAATAAACAATAAAAAAATTAGTTGAATTAATTACTAAAAACAACTTCTTAAAAACTATAAGACAACAAAAAAACACTCAGAAAAATCAGATCAATAATAACAATTATTCACTCAAAAATAATCATATAACTCAAATTCCTAGCCAAAATTCTGGCACTAGCCAGAATTTTTTTAACAACTCTAAATCCTTCAAACCAAACAAACAATACAAGAACAAATTCAAGATTCAAACATTGCAAATTTGCAATAGTGAACAGAACATAGCAGTATTAAAGAATCAGGCAACACCAAAGAAAATTTCACTGGATTACCCCCAATCATTAAAATTAAAAATCCTAAAACGATCTCAAAATTCAAAAAAAAAAAAATTACAACTCTAAATCCTCCAAACCAAACTCTAACACAATAAAATAACAAAATTGAGCAAGTCTAAGACAGATTAATTGTGACCTGTTGGGTTTGTCAAGCGACAGCGAGGGGCTGTTGATTGGGGGGCTCGAGATTCTTCTTCTTGGATGAATCGGAAATGAAATCTTCGATGTTGTAAATAACAGTGATGCAGAGGGAACAGCTAGAGCATCGAGCGATGTCTTCGCCGAGGTTGAGATCTTGTTTTGTGATCTGAAACAAGTCTCCGCAGGGACATGGATAGGTGAAGGCTTGAAGGTCGTCGTTCCATTCCATGTCTTCGATCTCCACGCCGTCGTAAGACATCTACAAGACGATATCTCAACTCTCTCTGTGTGTTTCGTTTCTTTGCTAATTGTGATCGATCGATCGAGGATTGGGGATTTTGGGGTGGGAAGCATGGGGTGGAGGAGGCTAGGTTTTATTCGAAATAGCCGTTGATTCTGTTAAAAAAAATTAGCCGTTGATTTTGTTCAAATAAATAAATAAAAATTTGCTTTTAAAACACGTAATTTGAAAAAATTACAGATTCTCTCCTAATAGAAAATTTTTATTTAACTGAATTAAATTAAAAAATTAAAATTTTTAATTATTTTTTATATAATAGTAAAATTATTTAAATTAACATTATTAAAATTGTTAATTCATTTCATGATTTATCAATAAAGGCTTTGTTTGGGAAATTGACTATTTTAATTTGGAAAAATTGGTCTAACATCCTTCTCCAACGTTTAATAATGGAAGATGTCCACAATAAATTTTTTTGTAGTCTAAGGTTCCTCACCCATACCCATATATAACACCCACTCTTTCATTCTCTTTCATCTATCTTCTTGCACCAAACAACTCTTCTCTCTCTCTCCTCTTTGTCTGCAACATTGTTCAAAGCTTCATTGGCATTGACTATGACGGATGAATTCACACTAGCAAGATTTATAAAGCTTTGTAGATGGAGATCGTCGATTTATATGAAAATTCCTGATAGTGCTTTATACAACAAAATTTATATGAAACAAGCACTAGTCCTTATTGTTGTTTCTGATAGTGCTTCATTCATCATTGCTTCTCTTACTTTTTTCTTGTTTCTTCTTCATTGTCTTTATTGTTGATCTCAATAAACTAAATCTTAAAATCTTCATACAACATTTAATGAAGAAATTCACATAAAAAGATGTATTTGGGAGCTGGGGACATGGATTCAGCAAAGAAGTTGTTTGATAAAATGCCAATGAGAGAATGTCTAAGATCCCTCAAATCCATCCAGAGAAAATTCATTCCAAACCGGAGAATTTCTTTAGACCAATTCAGAGAAAATTCAGTTTAAACCAGAGAATTTCTCTTGACCAAACCAGAGAAAATTCAGTCCAAACCAGAGAATTTCTTTGAACCAATCTAGAGAAAATTCAGTTCAAACCAGAGAATTTCTCTTGACCAAACCAGAGAAAATTCAATCCAAATCAGAGAATTTCTCCAGACCAACCCAGAGAAAATTTAGTTCAAACCAAAGAATTTTTTTGGACCAATCTAGAGAAAATTCAATTCAAACTAGAGAAAATTCAATCCAAACCATAGAATTTCTCTGGACTAACCCTAAGAAAATTCAGTTCAAACCAGAGAATTTCTCTAGTCCAAACCAAAGAAATCAATCCAATACATGAAGCAGAAACAACGATCGTTATGTACAAAAGTGAAAGGCAATCCTGCCAAGAAAACACAACATCTGCCTGGTCAAAGATGTGCATCTACAGATGTGAACAAAGCTGGGACCATGAATTCGTTTAGTAACTTACTGTGGATCTTGGGCGGGGCTTTATCTGAAGGGTTCAACTCATTTCTTTTGATGTTTAGAGACGTGCGAGATCAAGGCGGCCAAGTTTATCCAAATCTAACCAGGTAGGAAAATCATATAATACAAAATGCTTACTAAGGATTGGAATGTTGGTTGGTCCTTGTTTTTTTTGAATGTTTAATTCTAATGTCATTGTAAAAGGTTTTGTAGAAATATTAGTTTATACATAAATGGTTGCATAAACTGGATATGGAGTAATGGTCAACAGCAACAGTATTGTTAATAAACAGAAGTTGAAATAAGAAGAGGAAAAGGAAAAAAAATTCTGTAGTTTTAACTTAGAGAAGTTTCAATTTTCTTTGGTTTGAACCCAAAGAAATTTGGTGTTGGTGATGTGTAAAATTTTCTTTGTGATGTGTCCAGAGAAATTTGGTGTTGATGTGTAAAATTTCTCTGTGATGTGTCCAGAAAAATTTCGTGTGGGTGATGTGTAAAATTTTCTTTGTGATGTGTTCAGAGAAATTTGAAATTTTCTCTGGATCGATGTTGAGGGACCTTAAAATTATGAAAATAGAGTGTTTTTATGCTATAAAATCTTAATACCGGGGACTTTAAAAAAAAATCTCTTTTTAATTATTTTTAATAGGCTATTTCAGTAACTTTTTAATTTTTTATGAAAATATATACAGAAAAATAGAAAGAGTGATGTGATAATTTATAGTGACTTTTTGGCTAAAATATTTAGTCCCCAAACGAGGTCTTAGACTAGCTAAAATAGTTGTGTTTTGGAAGTTGATTGACTTTTTTTGCAGTTGATTTGATGGTTATGACAGGAAAAGTAAAATCATTATGGGTTAGATGTGATATTTTATCTTATTGACTATTTTAATCTATTTTATTTTTTAATGAGTTATTTCAGCCTAACCTTCTCTCCAAATAAGGTCAAAATATATCATTTATTATGCGATTATAAACTTGAAAATATATATAATTTTTATAATTGAAAAAAATAATTTAATTATATTTTAAATAAATCTCAATGAGTATATCTATAATTTATCCAAAATTATTGGCAATTGATGGATGCCATTCCCTTTTTTTATGTTATTGGAGTTTTTATTTATTTATTATTATTAACTTTTTTCATGTGAATTTTTTAAAAAGGAAAATTCAAAAAGTTGTACATTATTTTTAGCTTCTACGTGAATTTTTTTTTATTAAAGACAAGAAAATTATCAAAAATATTTCTAAAATTTTTTATTTTTTTTATTTTTAGTGAACCTTGTCTTAGATTTGTTTTTTGTTTTTTTATAAATAAAAATCTTTTTAAATCCTTCTATATTAGATGGACTTGAAAAATAAAAAATTATAACACGCAATAGAAAAAAAAAATCATTAAAAAGAAAAAATAGTAATAAATATATATTTTAACTAGGGGTAGTTTGGAATGTTCTAAACAAATATTCTTTTTGAATTTTTATAAAAAAAAATGTATAAAAAAGTAGAAAAAAGTTGTTGGAAAAGTAAAGATGATATGTTGATAGATGTTGACCCAAATAAAAGTGTATGTATGCAAAAAAAAAAAAATGTACTTTTTTAATACATGCCAAACAAGCACTAGATCTCAAACTCAATCATGGACTAATTAGTTCGGTTTGGGTTTATATGGAAATTTTACACTAAATTGAATCTTGAGATTTTGTAAATTGATGAATTAAAATTGACCATTGATTTATCAATTTTTCAATTTAACGTAAATGATGGATTTATAGAAGATTTTAATTGACCGTTTGAATGGAAGTGCATTTGAAATGTATGAATTTGACTTTAATTACTCAAATTTAAATTTTATACTTTGCATATGAATTTAAAAATTAAATTAAATACACTATCTAAAAAATTAAATTAAATAATTTTATCACGATAGATTTAAAATACATACTATATAAAAAAGTTAAATGACATCATATTAAGAAATTTCTTATAGTTAGATGGATCCTAATAAAATATATTTATTTTTATTTAAATAATTTCATCCCAATGTACTAGCTTGCATTTTTTTGGGTGAATAGTACCAGCTTATATGAAAAATGACCCTCTAAGGAGATGGATGGTGGATGCCATGCCAACTGAATTATTAAACAGAAACAATGATAAACTCCACATACCGGAACAACCTTGTCCCATACATTTCTAAATTAAAAAGTTTAAATTCTATAATATTTAAATAAATTTGGATTAACTTTTGAGATAATTACACTTTGCATCCCTATACTTTGTACTAAGGGGCTATTTGGGGTATCTTAAATAAGTGTACTTTTTGTCTTTTTGAACTAAAAAATTGAGAAAAAAAAGATAGATGTTTGAATTAATTTTTTGTCTTTTTATAAAAAAATATGTAATAAAAAATTGTATAAATAAAGTGTGTAGGAGAAGATTTAAGATTGATGGTACAGCTGCCTGCGGCTGCCCAGCCTGTCTAGTAAGAAAAATAATCAACTCCTTCGGAGCAAATAACTTTTGGACTGTGATGGTGGATCCATGGGGGCCATCGTAGGTCCCATTTTAATAATTTGAACCGTTTAATATGTACAACTCGTCGATTATTATATGCCTGTAAAAAATCACGTTGATCGGATATCGATAGCTATATGATCGGATTAGTTTTTTTTTCAACAGTTAACTATCACACCATCGATTTTGTCTATACAAAACTAATTTGATCATATAGTTAACAATATCCGATCAACGTGATTTTTTGCAGGCATATATTACTCAACGAGTTCTACATATTGAACTGTTCAGATTATCAAAACGTAACCCTTAATGGGCCCCCAATGGCCCAATATTACCATCAAACTAATAAACTTTAGCTATGAAAAAAAAAATTGGCTAAAAAAAAGTGGATCTTTTGCTGGTTTTGGACTGGCACGTTGCTAGTGCATTTGAAGTATACATATATATAAAATATTTTTTTAATATTTTTTATTTGTGAATAGTAATTTTTTTTTGCTTTTTATGTAACTTTTTGACTTGTTGAATTTTTTTGAGGATGCCAAACTTGGCCTAAATCTCACTCTGGCCTCTACATATGAAATCATGATAGTCAACATCCTGCACTTCTAGTCAAATGTCACTTTGGTCACTACACATGAAATCATAACAATTAACCCCTTGTATTTTTGCTCAAATTCCACTTTAATCTTTACACAAGTGTCAATGTCTCTTTTCTGTTATTTTATTTTTAAATCTTTAACAAAATCCAATCTTGTGACTACGAAATGAGGGTAAAAAAGAAAAACCATCCATATATATCACCAATACACTTTGTCTTACGGGATAAGTACGTGAGAGTTATATAATATTATATATATGTGCGTTCGTATGCTAAAAATTGTGATGAAGACACAATAAAATAGAACTTTTGAAATAATAAAAATTGCAACAAAGAAATCAAAGAGGAAGGAAGATGAATATACAAAAGATTGTGTTACTGTGAAAAATAGAGTTTCGTGATTGCAATTTATGCAAAATTTTAATTCATGTTCTTAATGGTTCACAATCTGCGTTTTGTTTTAGTCTAATAAAATCATAAGTTGATATAAATTTTGGAACAAAGTGCATATTGGTAAAAAATGTAGACGGTTTTCT